TCTGTCTGTCTGTCTATTTATCTATTTCTCTCTCTCTCTCTCTCTCTCTCTCTTCAGTGTGCATTAAGCAACCCTAAGGAACCCTTTTCCAAGCAGCACGGCTCCGATATTGTGGCTTCCGGGTGTTAGTGCTTTGCAGGTTTCGGGCTTGGGCTGGCAGGCTCCACCTTGAAGCCCAGTACCCTGGCCCAAAAAAGTTTAAACTTTTCTTTTAGTAGGGGGTATAATATACCAAAAAGTTTAAAGTTTACCTACTAGGGCTCCTAAGTCAAAGGTTTGAGGTGTCAGGCTCCAGGGTACGAGCTTTCGCGGCTTGTGGGCTTAGCGCTTGAGGGCTCAGGGGTTACCCTACCTTTCTAAGCACATATGAAAAGGAATACTATACTAGGGATCCCTAAACAGTTAGGTTTCTTAGGGTCCAGGTAGGGCTTATAGTGTTTGGGTTTGAGACCTAAGGGTTTGGAGTTTTGGGCTTAAGGCGGCTAGGTCTGGGACAATAGGCTACTAGAGGGAGTTAGGGCCGGGGGTTTCCCGCCTTGACATTTAATTAAGTGCCTTTAGCATTTGAGGGTTTAGGGTTTAGTAACTTAGTATGTCTAGTTCAATGTTCAGACTTTGCTACGTCCTCTACTCGCATCACCATTGCCCATGCTCTGGGTATGAAGCAGGCCTCCAGCTGATGAGCTCTGCAGCATGCCTAGAAGAGATTCTTGCGGTCTACCATGATGAATTCCAGGGACTATCAGAGATCCTGGTACCGGTCGCGCTCGTCATGCAGCATGCAGCGTTTCTCCTGTGTAAATCCCTTGAGGATGTTGCGCTGCATGGGCAACACGTCCGGCTCGGACGTGGTCCAGTAATCCACCAGCGCCCGGCAGATCCCCCTAAACCCTAAACCCTATCCCTCAAAAATGACTTTGCAAAAACATCTGTGGTGCATACTGTCACATTGTCGAAGCCGCGCTCGTGCATCATGAAACTTCCGACCAAAGGGATCGTCTTCGACTCCGGAAGAAGCGGGCCTCTGCACAAAAAGCTCGGAAGGGAGCGTTCGCACAAAGAGCTCGGAACGGGTCCTTCGCCCAACGTCTTGAAAATCATCATTCCAAGTCTACGCCTTCCCACTCAGTACAAGGGTTGGGGTGCCCACTATGGTCGCCGAAGCAAACGAGAGTCTAAGGTTTGACAATCCACCGGCCGGGCAAAGGTGCAAATAAACCTGTTTCCCTTTGTTCGAAGAACCGTGAACCGAAACGACATGCCCTAAACCCTTCGCCCTGAATCTTTGTATCAATGCCCCCTTAGCCCCTAAACCCCTAAAGCCTAAACCCTAAACCCCTATAAACCCCAAACGCCAAAACCCTAAATCCTACGAAGGCCCCTAGATTATGCCCTGAGATATACACCCGGAAGGTCTCCAGTTGGCGATGAAGGGCCTCCGCCAGGTTGCCGCAACATCAAGGAGGCCTGCGCAGTTGCTGTACATTATAAATAGTATGTTATGAGTATAGCATATTTCAGTACATTCAAGTGTATGTGTGTATCTATATATATATATATGTGTTTGTGTGTGTTATAGAATATCATACACTCTAGGGCTATTTACACTGAATCAAAGATGTGCGATTTCTGTATGTGTGTGTATAACTATGTATCTATCTTCTATCCTTCGACCTATCTATCTATCTATCTATCTGTCTATCTATCTATCTATCTATCTATCTATCTATACCTCTCTCTCTGTCTCTCTCTCTTGCTGTATTTCTGCCTCAATGACCAGATAAATGAATGAGCGAATGAATGCATGCATGCATGCATACATGCATGATTGAAAGACTGTATGTATATATCTGAAGTTGTGCCTATATAGATACATCGGCATATACAACTTCCAGAAAATTCTAGTTATAGAATGCGTATATACACAAGCATACATACATACATACATACATACATACATACATACATACATACATACATACGTGCATGCATGCATGCGTGCATGCATGCATGCATGCATACGCTGTGAATTACTGGTTGAGGGATCTTGGAAGGTACGATGCCTGAACCCCTACGCGCAACAGTGAGCTACAGACCCGACAACCACCCTAAACCCCAAACCCCAAACCCTGAACCTTGACTCGACGCCTACCTGCAACAATCGGCATGACCCCCTACGAGAAATCTCTCATAATTACTACGCTACACCCTAAACCGAAACCCCCAGGAAAGAAGATATACGACTTGCAGCGCCCCTTAAAGTCACCCTTATCTTATTAAAGCAACACCTATAATGGCTCTTCGGATATCCCTTTAAAAGCTTCCCAATACTCAGCAACTTTGCTTCAAGAGCGGCCTGCATCCGGCAGCCCCCTCTCGTCAGCGCGTCCGCCTGCCACAGGGGTCTGAGTCTGAAACTAGAAACCACGCTTCGGTTTTAGGTCCAGTTTATTAGGGGTTTAGGACTATGAGGGTTCAGGGTGTAGAGTCAGAGCTTAGGGTTAGTAATGTGAAAAACTGAGCTGCATCACAGTAGTGTACACCTTGATTAACAGACACCTATTATCAGTTTATGATAGAGATACGAAGATTGGGTCCTTCAAAAGAAAGAGCATTCGATTAATCAGGTGTCTACTGTCGCAAAGTAAGCTTACAAAGTAAGGTTACCAGACAATATCTTGCTTTTAGTATTGCCTTATGTGTTGGAACAAGGCTGCGACCCGGCCCAGTGCAGCAAAAGGACCCTAAACCCTAAACCCCTAAATCCTAAACCCTTAACCCCTTTAAACCCTAAGCGCCACCTAATACCCTAATACTACCCTAAAGCCCGGTCTTCCTTCTGAAGCGCATAATTCAAGGGGTTTTGGAGTGTATGGGTTTCCGCCAACCTAGTAGAATCCTGAATAACATCCCACGCAATGGTACCAAGCACTCAAGCTTATTGGTCTGACTAAACCCTAAGCTTGACGAACCCTTAACCCCGAATAGCCTGATTCATCACTAAGCCCTACACCCCAAACCGCACACCCCGATCCCTGCAATCCGTATAAACCCTGACCCAAAACCCTAAACCTAATCCCAAAGTCTCTAAACCCTGAACCCTAAACCCCTGATCTTAAACCCCTAATCCCAAACCCCTAAACCCTACACCCTAAACCCTGAACCCTAAACCCTAAACCCTGAAAAACACCCAACCCCTACTCCCAAACCCCCTAAACCCTAAACCCTGAACCCTAAACCCTGAACCCTAAACCCTTAAACCCTAACCCCTAAACCCCCAAAGCCCCATTCCCAAACCCCCAAACCCTAATCCCTAAGGCCTAAACCCTAAACCCCGAACCCTAAACCCCTAATCCCAAACCCCTAGACGCTAACCCCTAAACCCCTAAACGCTAATCCCCAAGGCCCTAAGTCCTGTCTACCCCGGCTTCAAAGGACCTCAGCAGACCAGAGGCCCACAAGACCGTCCGAAGAGGCCGTCGCCAGGTAGGGCCTGAAAAGGGCTTCGGGGGTTTAGGGTTTCGAGGGTTTCGGGTTTAGGGTTTAAGGTTTCAGGGTTTAGGGGGTTTACGGGGTTTAGGGGGTTTAGGCTTTCGGGGGTTCAGGGTTTAGGGTTTAGGGCTTCGGGGGTTTAGGGTTTAGAGTTTAGGGTTTAGGGTTTAGGGTTTCGGGGGTTTAGGGGTTTAGGGTTCAGGGGTTTGGGGTTTAGGGTTGAGGGTTTCTGAAGTGAGAAAGTTGCTTCGGCAAGGGGATGGCGGGCGTGGGGTTAGGATTTAGGTTCTGGGTTTGGGGTTTAGGCTTCAGG